CTACCTCACAGGGTGTCTGTTGTGGGGAGGGGAAGGGAAAGGAGAATGTAAGCCACTCTGAGACTCCTTCAGGTAATGAAGGACGGGGTATAAATCCAATCTCCTCCTCCTCCTCCTTCTTTCCCTTACTTTGCAGCTGTGTGCTCAGCAGAGATGTACACCCACGAAGGTGCCTTATACTGAATCAGACCACTGGTCTATCAAGTTCAGTACTGTCTACTCAGACTGGCAGCGGCTCTCCAGGGTCTCAGTGGCGAGTAAGTGTGCACACACGAACACACAACCCTTCTCCAAAGCAGCTTGCAGATTTGGACTCTTAATTTGGCATGTCTTGAGACTTGACACACACACACACACACACACACAACACAGGCTAGAAGGCCCTCAAAGCTTTTTCAAGAATTGGGTTTTATTGTTTGAACCCCCGCCTGTTAGAAGCCACCTTCAATATACTGTTTAATAAAGGCCCAATATAAATATTTCAAATAAACCTCACGATCCAATTATTTCTGTTTTCCTTGCTGAATCTTGCCAATGCTGTTTACTCAGTCATGTTTGTTTATTACTTTTATTAACAGCGTATTTCAGAACAAAGACAGACTTGAAAGAAAAAGAGAGTCCACGGCACATCCATCAGGACGACAGATGCACGCACCAAAGGCAGAACTGGCAGAGCTGTCATCACCCTGGCACATACCCATCATGCTTCTGACGGGCTGTCTGTCACGGTTTCACATATTTTTTTCACACAGCCATGTGACCATTTACGGATTTGTTTATTCATACTTCTAAATAAGGAAGCTTCATTGGGAGTGCTGGTGGTACACTTTCCCTATGAGGAAAGGCTAAAGCGCTTAGGGCTCTTTAGCTTGGAGAAACGACGACTGAGGGGTAACATGATTGAGGTTTATAAGATCATGCATGGGAAAGAGCAGGTAGAGAAAGACGTACTTTTCTCCCTTTCTCACAATACATGAGGAAAGGCACTCAATGAAACTGCTGAGTGGTCGGGTTAGAACAGATAAAAGGAAGTCTTTCTTCACCCAAAGAGTGATTAACACACGGAATTCACTGCCACAGGAAGTGGTGGCGGCTACAAGCATGGACGGCTTCAAGAGGGAATTAGATAAGCATATGGAGCAGAGGTCCATCAGTGGCTATTATCCACAAAGTATAGATAGGGACTCTGGGGCAAGTGATGCTCTGTCATCTTGGTGCTTGGGGGGGGTCAACAGTGGGAGGGCTTCTAATGTCCTGGCCCCACTGGTGGACCTCCTGATGGCGGACCTCCTGATGGCACCTGGGTTTTTTGGCCACTGTGTGACAGAGTGTTGGACTGTATGGGCCTTTGGCCTGATCCAACATTGGCATCTCTTATGTTCTTATGTTCTTACGGTGGAGATTCCCTGGTAACATCACCAGGAGCTGGCCAATCAGCAGTGAGCACTGTAGGCATCTACTTCCATAATCCAGGGGATTTTTTTAGAACATACTGTTGGAAAAGGTGTACAGAGAACATATGAGCCCTGCTGGTTCAGACCAGAGGCCCATATCATGCAGCATGTTCTTTTATACAGCAGCTAACCTATTACTCTGATGGGACAATGAACAGGTCGCGGAAAGCCAAGGTCTTCCTCTGATGTCTCCTAGAGCCGAGTTTCAGAGGTTTACTGCCTCTGTCAAAGGGCATTTGCCTACCTCACAGGGTGTCTGTTGTGGGGAGGGGAAGGGAAAGGAGAATGTAAGCCACTCTGAGACTCCTTCAGGTAACGAAGGACGGGGTATAAATCCAATCTCCTCCTCCTCCTCCTTCTTTCCCTTACTTTGCAGCTGTGTGTTCAGCAGAGATGTACACCCATTAAGGTGCCTTATACTGAATCAGACCACTGGGCCTATCAAGTTCAGTACTGTCTACTCAGACTGGCAGCGGCTCTCCAGGGTCTCAGGCGGAGGGCTTTCACAAAACCTACCACCTGATCCTTTTAACTGGAGATGCCGGGGATCGAACCTGGGACCTTGTGCATGCCAAGCAGGAGGTTCTCCCCCTGAGCCACAGCCTCTCATCTCCCCTCTCCGCCATGGACTGTAAAGAAGATTCCACTCGCTCTTAATCTTCCAGGAGGCGCAAGGCATCCGAGGAATCTGCCTGTCGGCTGGCGTTCTCCGAGCTGTCACTCAGCCTGGAATCAGAGGCCAAGCCGGCGCTGGGAAGGCAGCGCTGCGCAGCTGTGTGTCAGATCAAAGCGAGCGCTGTCGCAGCAGCCCGGCGGAGGGAGAGCACCGACTGCCTCTGCCTCTCAGCTGCTGCAAGGCACCCAGTGAAGACTGGAGACAGTTAGAAGCCAGGCATAATTAATGGGTTTATTTCTACCCAACGCCCAACCTAACAACTGTTGTACAAGATGGCAGTTTGGCAGATTTCAGGGCAAAACACAACAAAGGGGGGGGGAGAGAGATCATGAAAAACAAACGCCCGATTGCTCTCCAGTACATGGAAAGGCATTCTTTTTGCATTGATCTATTTATTTATTTATTTTATTTGACTTCTATCCCGCCCTCCC